TATATATATATATATATATATATATATATATATATATATATATATATATATATATATATATATATACCGCGCTCCAGGAGCCGGAAGCAGGCGTTGAACGACTGTATATAAACCTTCCCAGCATTTGCCTTTTTAACCCTGATGATGTCAAGTGCACTTGACGAAAGCTTGGTAGATTAAACTCTATATGTTTTATAGATTTCTCTTGGTGGTCGCTTTGTTTTATAATATATATATATATATATATATATATATATATATATTTATGACCCTTTAATCCCTTTTATTTGGGGTGGAGTCAGGGTAACTGAATTGAGTTGAACATTTCCTGGCCAGATGCCCTTCCCAACACCTACGTGGAGTTTGCAGCAGATATTTTCTCTTTAAATATATATTTAAATATATATAGCTATGAGAGCGTTATCTGGTTAAAACAAGAAAATGTAATCTTCTTAAATGCTCTATGGAAATGGTCTCTACACACCTGCACCAGATGTTTTTGACTTCTGCTCCCAAGATTTCCTACGCTGGATGTTTGTCTAAAATTTCTAAATGTTATCCTAAGACTCCTTTGCTTTTTGTTAGATGTATATCCTATTTTGTGCATCCCAAGGCACCAGGCATGCCCAACACTCCTGCCTCCTATATTCCCAACAGCAACCACCCTATTAGATGGGTTGGGCTGAGAGTGACTGGCCTAAAGTCACCCAGTTGCTTCCAGGCCTAAGGGAAGACTAGCGCTCAGAATGTCCTGTTTCTAATCTACCACCTTAATCTCTACATCAAACTGGTGGGAGAAAGCTATTCCACAGATACTTCCAAGAGTATCATGACTGATCATGACTCAGAAAGCTTGGTAACTATGCTACATCTAAAAAAACCTGGAGACCTTTGGTATCATATCCCCTATTCTTTCTAACCACCTTGCCATGGAGGGCTACATCAGAGCTTCTATGGGTGGGATGGAGATGAAGGCCCCTTGGAACTGATTTCTATCTGCAGAGTTTCACATTAACACATGGCGATCAAAGGATGGAGATACAGAGATGAGCACATTTTCAAGTTGGGTTAAGGTCAGGGCTGCCCCATTCTCTCACTTTGATCTTTTGCCTGGTAGTTGTTGCAGGTCTCATCAGGGATACCATGCTGGTGAGCATACTCCCATACGCCTGTATGGTCTCCACCGTGACAGGTCCCTGCCTGGGCACAGTCAATGACGTGCTGAACTGAGAGGTAAGCAGAAGGCCAGGTGCCTTTCTTCTTGATGTTGATGCGATCTGAGAGAAAAAGAGCAGATGGTTGATGTATGGCATGGGTTGGGGCCTTCAGCATTCTGGACTTTGAAGGATGCTTTCTTATGGGGAAAAAGGGAGCAGGCAGCCTTTGGGGGAGAAGGGACCCATTTTGACTTTGAAACTATGTCCAGGTGGGCTTACAAAATAGTGATCCCGGTGACATCCTCCCATGGGGTACTTTTACTTTCTAAGAACAATACTGGGGCCTTTGTGGGACCATTCCCATGATGGCTAGCCTAGGAAGGGATCAAATATTCAAGGTGGCACCTGCTTGATCAAAGCCCCCCACCCCTTTTTTGCAG